CATTTTCTGTAAAAATGTATTTTTCAAAGATTTCATGCATTGCTACGTCATGTCAACTCAAACAAGGTGTTATGACATGTCATTACATCTCAAACATACTATTTTAGCATGTCGTTGCTACTTAGCTAAGCTGTTGTTCGCTGTTTTGCTTCTGTAGCATATTTTTAATACTGCTTGATCCTGCCTTGGATGAAAATATATACAGGTTTTTAATTAGACAATTCTTTAATGCATTTACCTATTATGTGCTTAAAAAATTTACAAAATCTCTTCCCGTATATAAAATGTAATTAATAATGCTGACTATGTCGCATGTGTTGCTAGTGTTGACATGCATAGATTTGATGCATGATTTGATTTCAATTATTCGCCAGTATCTTCATATGTTATTGTGAAACATATATGAGAGACATAATATGAACTGGCACTTGCATGATGTGACACATGTCGCTATGTTTTATAGTTCAACATTTGCAGGCCTTTAGTTTGTAAATATTAAATAAGATGTTATCGGCAACTTAGTGCGGCTCTCTTTGAAGGGCTATAATCTCAAAAATTATAATCAAACAAACAAACGAATGAACCACAATGTAACAAACAAAGTGAAATCAATATATGACGTACGCTTATTTGAAAATTTAAATGCAAACAATTTACATATTTATCTACATTAACCCTCTGTGGATGGTTCCGCGCGCAGAAGTGGAAAGCTTTTCACTGCCGTTCACCTGGAAGTAGCCACAAGTGATTCTTGTGCGTACTGTTCAAATCGCAGCTCACAAAGTCCGGATATTTATATCCACGTATCCTCTGAGTAGCAATCAGAAGGCGTAAAACTTCGCGTGCGCTGGGTTTGGGTCTCGCCACGTTAAAACCCCGCCCAATGAAAAACAAAAAGTAGGCTCGGATGAGGCCCCCTTTTTTGATGACGACCCAGCAAATGTATTAAGGACTATGATTTGAGGGTATGCACCTGGAATATCCGGACCCTTAATGGGGAAGGTGCCTCTTCCCGGCTGGTTGATCTCCTGGGGAAAACTAAGACTGGCATCACCGTCATCCTTGAAATGCAATGGATGGGGCAAGACAAGGTAAGCGTCTACTATAGTTGCCACGTAAAGGAGCACAAATTCAGTGTGGGATTTGTGGTGGGAGGGACTCCGCCGCCGAGTACTGGCGTTCACCTCGGTAGACGAACGTCTAGCCACAATCCGCATCAAATCGAGATTCTTCTCATCTGCGCCCATGCTCCGACGGAAGAGAAGGACGAGGCGTTCAAGGATCTCTTCTATGAGCGCTTGGAGCGTACATATGAGCGCTGCCCCCGGCACGATATAAAAATCGTGCCTGGCGATTTCATTGCCAAGGTGGCCAAGGAAGGGATCTTTGGCGCCACTGTCGGAAACTTCAGCCTCCACGACGAAACGTCCGATAACGGGTTGAGACTGATCGACTTCCCCGGGACCCGAAACATGATAATATATATTACTAGGTTCCAGTATAAGAAGATCCACCAAGCTACATGGCTGTCTCCAGATCGAAAAA